CTGTACGAATTTGTGTCAAGTTTAAATTTTTAATGTATCAGCATTGCACAAATTGCAGAGTTGCAATCTTTTGGCTCTTTGTGTTTATGTTCCTCACAATACCAGCATTTCCCAAAGATGGAGTGTCTTTATTCTTTCATCAGTCAACAAAATATTGGCCGAGGTGACATTCTAGTCTATTAGGATCACCTTGTTCATGCCAGGGGCTTACCAAACATGTACTATTGAAGGTTATTTAAGACCTGATCGTCATTATTTTTTTATTCATTAGGGTATCTTCAGGCTTGGTTAGCGACAATTTCCAGCGTCTGAACATGAAGCATCGCTCTTATCGACGTCGTGGGGGTGGAATAAGTGGTGCTGCTCATAAGAGGAGAGCATGGAAGCAAATGATGAAATCACGGGGAGAATTTGTTCCTCAGAAAAGTTGGAGTAGTAAGGGAAGAGGAGGCAGAGCTGGAGAAAATTCTGGGGCCTGTTTTAAATGTGGAGAAGAGGGTCACTGGGCAAAGAACTGCCACGGAAGGAGAAAACAGACAAGCAGTTTGAACCATTGGTATGTTTGTGTCAGTTATATTGGAGACCCTTCAGTTTACAAAAACAATTCCAGTTTTAAATTCCACACAAATGTATTAAAACCAGATTGTGTTGTTTCAATATACATTTCTGAAAAAGAGGACTACACTATAATTATGCATTTTAACAAGTTTTTGAAAATGTTTTCTTGAAAATTTCCATTTCATCAAGTGGTTCTCTTTGAAATTAAAATAGCGCTTGTGACTGGATTAGGAAAACGTTTCCAAAACATTTTGCTTCCGTTTCGTGTCATTGCAAAATTACTTATGGTAATTTTGGTCTAATTACCTATTGATCACTGATCAATTAAAAGCTTTTTTTTTCTTTTTATAAGTGGCATACATTCAGTTATGAGCTTAAACAAACTACTGTATTTTTCAGCAGTGCCTTAGAAAATTAATGTTATGTTGTTTAATTGAAGTGAAAAGGATACAGAAGATGTTGAGATGGAGGAGTTTGAGCCACTTCCCACAATTGAAGAAGCTGCTATGATGGCTGCAGGAATTCAACCGGATGATGATTCCTGTGGAAGTGAAGGACTTGTGATTCTACCACATCAGCTACCAAGGCCTGTGTACACACCACCCAGCCCTCCCCCCTCAGTAGAGCCTTTGTACCAGCCTGTAGATGGCAAGCCCGTGGGTGAGAATTATTATTCATTTCTTGTTTTTGTTTTGTTTTGTCTGTTTTTCATCTGCAGTAAACTCATAAGGTAAATGAAGTTAAAGGGGTTATGTTGTGAAGATTTTCCTGTTTTAGGTTAATTCTGTGCTAACGTAATAACTTAGTGCCTTGAACCATACACAAAATGCTCCTGTAGAATTATGAAGAAGATACAAACAAAATAATTTCATCAGGGCCGGGTCACTTTAAACGTAGTATTGTTTTTAGTGATTTTTGACAGCATAGCATTAAAACTTGAAAAAGTTGGCCTGGCCAGCATTTTCAAGTGTTAATCTCTGTCCATCCTTACCATCTGCTGGGTTTTCATTAAGAATTCTAGGTAGCAGGAGAAAGGTGTAACATTACCACAGGTGTGAAAATAAAACCACAGGGAATTTATTGCCCACTAGCATAAGAAAGTGGAAAAACATCTTTGGGCAGGCTTATGGCAGTGGGCACCGAGAATTTTTATGTGTAAAAGGTTTTTCAGAGCACAACTTTGAGGGTTAAATTTTATATTACTTTTTATACAGATTATGCACATAATGTTCTTTTTTACATTAATAAATTAACATCTTTAAAAATTTTCAGAGCCTACAAAGGAAGTGTTGTCTGCTCTAGGCAAGTTAGGATTTTCTTCATTCCGCCCAGGACAGCAGGAAGCTGTGATGAGAATCCTTTGTGGTGAGTGAAAATATATGGTGTTTAATGGCAGATCTGTATGTGTTTATACTCTAATTAATATACACCAGGGCCGGGTTGTTCAAAGCAGGGTTAAGATAACCCATGGTTAGTGCCAAATTTGAATTCAGATATGAAAGCTTAAAAAAGCAAATTCAGTTTAATCCTTTTTGTCTACAATTTGGTGATTGGATGCTCTAAAAAGTTAAGCGAAATTTATCCAAGAAAATACCTTTAACCCATTCGCTCCTAGAGATTTTGCCGAAAAACGCGTTTTGAAGCTAGTCGAGTGGTTTTCTGGTCACTGTCGTGCTATAAAGAGCTAAAACTTACCACAAACTGGTTTACAGGTCGAACACTTCGCGGTCTTCCGATCCAGATGCAAAATATCAGCTTGCGAAGTTCGGGCATGCGCAGAAAGCAAAATTTCGACATAGTTTTTGGGTTTAAAAGTGACACAGCAGTCTTGACTTTTACTTTTCGCTTTCTCTCCTCCCTTCTTTTTTTGCTTTTCTTGCCTCATTTTTTTTTTCTCTTGCTGGGCATTTAGTAGGCTTGATTTTGGTGGGAAGAGTTTTTAGGAAAGCTTTTAGGATCTTAGGATTAGGCGAAAGGAAAGGTAGGTGGGTAATGGGACAAGATTTTCATGGAGATTTTCAGGTCAATGTCACGTGGTTTTTTGCTTGTTTCTCCGGTGTCCTTGACTGAATTGTGCTCATTCTGGTATGGTTTGAAAGATCTCTTCACTCTGCACAAGTTAGTGAAGAAAGTTGTCCTTGACCGTTAAAACTGATGACGTCACAATGGGTAGAAAGGACCTGGATCCGCACGGGCAGTTATGGGCGGTTCAGGGGCGAATGGGTTAAACAAAAGAGAGAGGAGCCTGGGTTAAAATCTAACCCTGGGTTAATGCTAATCGGCCTTCGAACAACTGGGCCCAGACATACACTAGACATTGCTCCATTCATGTTATTTACAACTGTAGCTTGAATTATCTACTATGCCTGCAGATATTGTAGAGAGGGGTAATTTTTTAATTTCAATTCTATAATTGGTGTAAATCACTCTCTCAAACAAGACCTATCACTTTCCATTGCAGACATCAGTACTTTTTAGTGAGAGGCGTTTAACCATTCCTCATAAGATGCTGGTTAGACAGCTTGGGCTTAACCTAAGGGGGTCTAACTTAGATAGAGTTGGCAATATGAGAATTTAAACTATTGGGTCGGTTATTTGAGCGAAGTCTAACTTAGACCGCAGTTTAGGAAATCTTTGGACCTCCAGATCTCTTCCTTGGTGTGTTATTTAAAGAAGGCAAATGTTTTTCTAGTCTATGCCATATACTTTCGTGAAACTGTTTATGATTATGGTGTTTACATTAAAGTGTTTGGCAAACTGAAAATGGCTTAGAATGCAGCTTTAATTGTTAAACACTGGCTATTCTGCTAAACTCCATTTAAATAACTTGCCCATTAAGTTTAACTTCTGAATGGACAAAGAAAAAATCTCTTAGCTCAAAAACCCAGTTGACATTCTTTCTTTTATATTCAAAACCCAAATGAAATTCATTTCCAGAATCATAGAGAAGACAAAGCTAATCTTTTGGGTACTTCTCTATTAAAGATATTTCTCTTGATTCTGAAGATACCAAAATTAATACTGCCTCATTAATTCAGACACTTGTGCAATACTAGCTATTTCCTCTGACTGTAATGTCCCTATACTATATTAAGACTTTTTTGCAGTACAGTATGTGGTCTTTATTCACTGTGTAGTTTTTACATCTTTGGTGCCTCTTAGATAAATACATACATGTACAAATGTACAAACCTTGCACTATGATAATAAGTGTACAGTCAAACAGAAAGAACAGAAACAATCAGAAGGCTATGCCTATATTCCTGCCAGGGTTCCAGAATATTTTATCACATGCTTGTAACATTCTACCATGCTTCATTGCCAGGCATAAATACACAATCTTTTTCCCTTGCCATTTTTAATTTTTTTCTTAAATAATAATACATCCTGTTATTTTCAATTTCAGGATTGTCATCGCTTGTTGTGCTTTCAACAGGAGCTGGGAAGTCTCTGTGCTATCAGCTTCCTGCTTTTCTTTATGCCAAAAGGTCACCCTGTTTAACACTGGTTATTTCACCCCTTGTGTCTCTGATGGAAGATCAGGTACAGAACACCATCACTGCATTTTCACTTAATTTCTTATAAGACGCGTCTTATTAGATAAGACATGCTCGTATAAATGGTACAGTTCGCGTCTTATTTAAGACGCGTCTTATGTAAGACGCGTCTTATGTAAGACGCGTCTTATTTTTCCTCGTATAAATGGCCCTATTGTGTATGTCGTAAGTGAAAATTGTGCACTTGTTAAAATATAAATTCATTTTTCTCTGTTTAGCTTGTTCAAATTCCCAGAGAACAATGGCCTCGACTTGGTGATGAAGTGACCCAAGACATTCTTGATTCTGTCCAAGCTTTCGATCTTCTCAACGAGGAACTACATCTGGGGTTTTTCATCAGGGGTGTATCCGGTCCTCCAGGAGCCCCGGGACCAAAAGGTCCGATAGGTTCTCAGGGACTTACGGGTTCTCCGGGTTTGCCAGGTTGGCAAGGACCTCCTGGTAAGCTTGGTCAACGTGGATTGACCGGGCCACGCGGACCTCCCGGTCCCCCTGGGCCCCCGGGGATAAAAGGTGACTTGGGACTAGGCGGATTGCCAGGACAAGTCGGATTTCCAGGATCCCCAGGAAATCCTACGTGGCAGATACAAACGGAGATATTTACACCTTACTATACTGTGGAAACGGTAGGTTGAAACAGGCTGCGTAACTACGACATGATTGTATGAAGTCATTGATCAGGGAACTTAAGTTAATTAGCCCGCCAGTTGCGTTCTTTATCCTATATCCTTTCACCTCCGCTTAACCAGGAGCCCATAAGCTCCTGGCCTTACATAATGTTACTTAAACAGCTTCAGTAAAGAATATTTTGAAATTTCTTATTTACAGAACGTGACAGTGATATGCGCTGGAAAACGTGCGTTACTACAGTGCAATCCTGGCAAGATGGTCAAAGTAACGCAAGCTCGGTGGGGAGATGATACCTCGGTGCCGTGTGCAAACTCCACATATCCTGGCACAGTCCTTCTACCGCGGACAACTACTATAGACTCAAGCCAGGTAACAGACCAAGTAAGGAACCGCTGCTCAAAGCAGCAGAACTGTGAAGTGGAAGCAAGCAGTCCTTTTCTTGGCGAAGGTGCTGTTGGTTCCGCAAAATACCTTAGAGTCTGGCATGAGTGCATTCCTGATGCCTCTGACATCTTGACTTCATGGAGAGCAAAAAGAGACATCATAATGCAAAGGAGAGGATTCTCCGCTTCAAAACCGAGTGGCACTGGACCTGAACGTCTGAAATCGTACGAGGAGGGCTTAGGAACTAGTGGTTCCTTAGAGGTGCAGCAGAGCTTTTTGGGGGGCAAAAGCAACAAGCAAATCATAGCCAATAGAAATGAATCCGTGGCAAGGAAGGAAAAGAGGAACGGCGGAAGTCAGGAGAGTGCAAATTTGGCCAGAATGCTGGATAAACTGTTAGCACCATCCTCTCTAAACAAGTGAATGTTAAAAAAGAGAAAAGATATTTCACAAGTGTAAATAAGTCATGAGTAGCTTCGAATTATCGTAGTCATCCTATAGGCCGAACGGTTGTCTAGATATCGAATCCCTAGGAGTTGGGTAATTCCCCTCTGTTATACATTCAAGTATGCTTGGCTCCCGGAGGTATGGAAGCCTCATCGAGTATTCAAGTGGTATAGCCATTTTGTGATTGGATAAAAATTAGCAGTTAAGGGGTCGGCCTCTTATCAATAACGCAATTTTGTCACTACCGCCACATAAAAAAGTATGAGAACTGTTGGCAGTGAAATACGTTCTGATGAATGTTATAAATAAATTTGGCGAATCGATCATTCTTTTATGCTGTCGTTTCTTCCACGTCATTTTTCGGAAAACTTCTGATTTTTGTGTTTGGTTTGTGGCGCGCCAGTACATTTCCGATCCACGCTATCTACCGTGAAGTTTAATTCACTATCTGACATTGTAAGAACTTAAAATAAATAGGAAGTTGAGCGCTTTTAGGTATCCCCAGTAAGGAAAGCAGAGTTTAGGAATGGGTGTAGCACACTTGACATCTTTGTTTATTTGTGACTGTAGCCAACGCACCAGCAATAATATAAGTCGTAAAAGAGTTTTAATTCAACTGGAACAACTCGAACTCTTAACCTAATTTACATGATGTTGCCAGTGGTTTCTAGGATAAAGTAACAAACATAATACATTAAGAGCGGAACGACTAATTACAACAATGGAAATAACGTAGGAAATTTAGGTAACATAGGAAATACGAGATAAACGAAGACAGAGGACATTACCTGACGATTTGGGAATACGGCGAACGAAGTAAGATAAAGAACGTAACGTAGTTGTAACAGCCAGCGAACTCGAGCAAGATACTTTACGATTTGCATAACCCGCGCGAAAGTCGAATTACTTATACGTAAACACGCGGACTGGGACTAGGCGGGGGATTGGTTACTACAGTGACTTATATTTTTATAGCTATCATTTGGTCTCAAAATATGCTATTTTGATGGCCTATGGCCCAGTCGTCCAAGTTTGTCCTAGGATTATAGAAGTCATTCATTTGTCGATTTCCTTCCTCTTTCCTTCCTTTCTTTTCCATTTCCTCCCTCCCTGTCTTTCTCCCCTCTTTCCTTCTTCTTTCTTCATTCATGATACTGATATATCGTAAGAGGGTCTTAATGGGGTAAACCGATAGGCGTAAAACGGCCAAAAATTTAGTCGATAGCCGTAAAAATTGAAAAATTTTAACCGTTAGCCGTAAATAGGGTAAAAAAAAGTTAACCGTAAAAGAAATTGTTCCCTAGATTTGCTACTTTTAAGGAAGGTACTAAACTCACTTTTGGTTGCGTTTTTTATTTCGCGGCTAGTTTGGCTCCGTACGCACGTTAGGTAAAGCGCCTTTTAGGTGAAGACCAAGATCCATTTCCATTTCGGCCGCTCTCTCGGGGAACTTATTTTTTTTGCTATAGCGAAAGTCTGGCTTCTTGCTGGGGATTAACATTTGCGATTTTCAGGAGGTTGTGTCCTCGAAACACTAGTGAAACAACACGAAGAGATCTCACTGTTTGTAAAACAAGTTGCCGATAAACAACATTTCCCTGTTTTTCTCTGACGCTTCGGTAGACATTGCCATGCCTAGTCCCTGTACGGCGTCTTCCTACGCAATTTCGGTCAAGGCATTTCGGTGGCGAAGTCGCTCGGACCACGTGACCCGAAACGCATTAGCCGCGCGAAATAATAAGGCCTACGGACAAGGCAAAACGGCTGACAGTGGTTCCGTAAAGTCCTTCGCTACCATTAAAAACACTGGACACGGGAATTTTGTTATTGGCCGTTTTCACACTAGAGCTAGAAACGGATATCCGTCTGAGACTAGCCTGTGTACAGTCGCCCCCTTCCCGACGGACACCCCCTCTCCGATTTTTTTTCTGAGGGGAAGGGGCGGTTGTACACAGGCTATCTGCAACGGATAATCCCGTCTTCAAACTGTCCGTCGAAGTTGAAGGATAAAGTCAGGCGGATTGTTCATGCAAAATTAAAACTATTCCATTTTCAAATTAAGACGTATTACCTATCTGACGCGAATCATCAAATGGATAACCCGTCTCACACGAATAATCCGTCTTTAGTGTGAAAACGGCCATTTCTGTTCTAATGAATGTCGCGCCCCGGCCTTGAGTTAGGCGTTCGCGTGTGTGCTTTGCTTTTTCACAAAGATTATTTTTAAATTGACTATTGACATTTTTATGTGTAAAATAATATTAGAAGTGGAATACTTTATAAAAAGTATGATCTATAAAGTGTTAAATTTTTTCAAAAGAATAGCTTATTTTATATCCCGAGATGATCCTAAGACCTTTATTGTGCTTTAAAGATACAAAAAATACAGGTTAATTAATATTTAACTTTTTGAAACAAAAGAAGTTAATTTTTAACTTTTTTGTTAACCGTAACTGAAAAAAATTAGCCGATAGCCGTAAAAGAGCCAAAATCTTAGCCGATAACCGTAAATGCCACCACCCCATTGAGACCCTCTCGTAAGTTATCACGCCACTTTATCAAAAAATGTTTACAAGAGCTTTGAAAACCTAGTATTATTCTATTACGAAATACTAAAAAACAAAACGCAAGGCACTTGTTTTAAGATGACAGTAAGAAAACAGCCGACATTTCGCGCTGCAACCACTGGTTTCCCCTCGAAATGACGCCTGAGAAACGAGCGCAGAAATTCCATACTGATGACGCGTCACTACCCAGATCTGGGCTGAGTGATTTGTTTGATCGTGCCGCGAGGGAAATTTGCTTCAACCATCTGGAAAGTGATCATGAAACGTCATCAGTGGAATTCCTGCGCTTGCTCCTTATACGAACCGCGAGATGTCCGCTGTATCTCAGGCCAATTTTGAGATTGGTTGGCACTCCGTATATTTTTGCAAATATTAGATGTAAAATGCGAGAAGTGTCGGTAATCTAGCCTGAAATTTCATCCGATTACTTCGAATCGTTATTACTCCCTCAGTAGCTGCTGAGAGGAGAAAACGACTCGAATTCAGCATTTTGGAAGCTGGCCATTTTTGGGGGTCGTAATTTGATGTGTAGTGATCATTGATTTTTCAATATGATATCTAAAATGTCGCTTGTTTGAGAGTTATTTTTAAATTGGCCATCTTTTGGGTCGTAATGACGTTAAGTGACGATTTGACCATAAGAGCTCCAAAATGTCGCTTCGATGATAACCACCATAACACCAGCTAAACACGATGACACCATGTTTCAAATTGGCCATCTTTTCGAATTCAGGCTTCCCTGTCGGCTTCCCTCGAAAAGGGCTGGCACTAGCACCCAGTCTTTCCCCTCCTTTCTTGGCGGGAAAGTTGTAAACATGGCGGAGTCCTTGTCGATGTGTCGATGCGACGATCATGAAACGCAATAGACGAACTTTCTGACAGAAAACAACAAAGATGATTGGCGCAAGTAAGTAAAATTATGTTTTCATCAATTAAAAATTCTTTTGCGAGCTAAATACACCATTTAGTTTGGTAATCGACGTTTTTAAATCACTTGATCCGACGTCGAGTTGTCTTGCGCGAAAAGAGATGAATAATTTTCTGCTGCTTGATCATGAATTCTTATCCATAGAAGCAATGAAAGAGCTTTCACTTCTAAAGCGAGAGTTGAAATGCTGGGAAAATATGTTTGAACGAACACATGGCCGAAAACCAAACAAGGTAAGCTTGGAACTGTAACTCTGAACACACGCTTAAGCTCATTCTTCACTTGGAGCAAGATAGGCGGTAAAATTAAAACATACATTATTTCAGGGAGCTTTTCAGGCTTTTCAGGCAACCAAAGCAGTAGAAGTTCACTTTAAAATTCATTAAGTTCAATTATTATCATCAAATAACACAATATTAAAGTTCATCAAGTATCGAGGATTTAGCAGTTTAAGGGCATTAGATTAAATTTAATCAAGATAATTTGTATATACAAAAATGACCAGTTAATTATGTGATCTTTTGCTAGACCACGAAAAGAGCAGCAACATTATCATTGCCACTTGCATTGAGTGCAAAATAAGGTGCAATCAACTTAAGACAGTGAATCATGGAGTGATTAAAGAGTTGTCTGATCCCTTTTAATATACCAGTAGAGTGACCTTTTGGGCTATTTTCCTCAAAAGTTGCTTGATGGCCAAACAAAGAGTGTTGAGCTTTTTTAACAGAAAGAAATTGATTTTTAATTTTTTAGACTCGCTCCCCAGAGCTCCAGGCTCATTGACCTAATTAGCATATTTTTGGTTTGTTTCATTTCACCCTAATGCTGAGTTGAGGAGTTGATACATGTATAACTTTGTAAAAAATTCAGGTCACATGATAAATACCTAACAGAAAGGGAGGAACAGTGTTAAAATGTGCATACTTTTAGAATAACGTATATCCTCTATTAGTATATACTAAAACAGTGGATAGTGTTTTTCGCGCACTCTGATTGGCTACTCAATCAGTGACTATCCTGCACTATTCACTGATTCACCTCCAGTTCCTCCAAGCGAGCGACGCCAAACTCACGTAAGTTGCGAGCAAAATGCCTTCCCGGTTTGCTGCCGTAAACAAACAAAGAAATTTCACACCTAATCAAGCAAGCTGTTTCCGAAATACACGAAGAAGATGACGAAGTTCGGATTGGAAGTTTTAACAGGTAGAGCTTTGTCTTTTTGACACGAATTTATGGATAAAACCGCTGAAAAAGTTTTTTGTTTACAAATGCAAATTAAGTTTAAGTCTTGCGTTACTTTATTTAGTTGAGTTGTTCATAAATAAGCTTAAAACTAAATTTAATAATCTTTTTTTATACAATGATTTTAAATACAACAAGAATTCACAACTCCTTTTGAAGAAATTTGCCCGCAAGAGCTAAACAAATGCCTTCAAAAGTTTTAATTGTCGGCAAGAAAAAGCGACGGCGGCGGCCGCCCG